GTCAGCGTCCAAGGCCAGCAGCCACAATGAAGTACGTGCAAAGGCATCCCTCTAATACGGTAGTTTTCAAACTTTTTTTTCCCCCTCATGACTCAGTTGAAGAAAATTGTTGATGCCCACAACCCAACATAATCTGATAGGAGTGTGGGCTTTGAGGTGGGGCTGAAGATGAGAACTCTGAATTATGGGACGGGCTCTAGTTTTGCGTGGAGGGTGTCAAGTCTGGGTCAGGAGGGGCTTATCTTAAGTGGCTCCCAGGCAGCAGTGCAGTGGGGGTGCTAAGGCAGCTTCCTGCCTCTCCTGGCACCGCAGATCATGCTGTCCCCCAGACACAGCCAGCAGCAGGTTCCCAGCCAGTGGGAGTGTGGAGCTAGTGCTGGTCTAGGAGCCAATCCTGTTGCTGGCCATTTCTGTGGCACAGCGCAGTCTGTGGTGCCAGGACAGGCAAGTAGCCTGCCTCTGCACCCCCACTGGTCACCTGATCACTCTGCATCAACGAGACCCAGCCCCCCACTGGTCACCTGATCACTCTGCATCAACGAGACCGAGCACTGGGTCACGACCCGTAGTTTGAAAACCACTGATCTAACAGAGGGTCATATATATCAGTCTGCTGTTCTTTGCTGGGTGTTTGCTGATGTGACCGAGCCCTGGGCCAAAATCAGAGTCCAGACCTGTGTAGAGTTTCTGGCCAGAGCAGGGCAGTGAAGACAAACTGAGGCATAGGACTGGAAACCTGCCCATCACTAATCACATCGTAGTTCTCCCCTGCAGACACTCTCCACTGACTCTGCTTTCTTGTGCAATTGATTAAATCTGCATGTGGCTGAATGATCTCAGCATAAAAAACCCTGATATTGCTGGGTTGTTTATTTCTACTCACACTGTAGCAAATGAGGGTAAGTAGTAAGTCATTAATGCAGATTAGTATTTAAAGTGTTAAAAGACACAGCAAAAGTTTCCTCCACTGGTTTAGACAGCCTTAGAGATCGCATGTGCATGAGGGGAAGAGAATGAAAGGAGAGTGGGAAGATGTGAAAGTTGCTTGTCTCCAGGCCATGGGCTACAGTGGAGCAATCTGCAGTGCATTCTTGCATCCTCTCTAGCAGGAAAAACAGCATTATTAATAGCTCGGAAAGAGCCCTATCGGTCCTCACCACTAAGTGCCTGCTGCACCTGGAAGTTGCTATTGTCATGGGAAATAGTGACAGAGGGTTACTTTGGGTAGGAGGTAGAGAGCTATTGGTTTATAGGCCAAAATGCCTCAACTCATGACATTTGCTGGAAAAAAACCCAGCCACGCCTAATTCTGCCATGTGAAGTTGAATGTGCTGTCCAACTTGTAGAAAGCTCTTATCAGCTTTAAGGGGGAAAATGCGAGGGTAGGAGCAGAAGAAATATACACATTATAGTATCAACTGAGAGCCAGATTCTGACCTCCTTAGCTGAGTAACAATTGTTAATTCACTCATGTCAGTGGGACTACTCCCAGAGTAAAATACTATGCAATGTGAGTAAGAGTGGCAGAATCCAACCCTAGATTTTTAACTTCAAGCACTTTGCTAGTGACAAAAAGCTGTTATTAGGGGAAATGTTTGGCTGAAGAGTAGTGCTGCTTTGCTCAGGCTCATTCCTGGAACGTAGTTACCACTGGTTAGCTAATTTAGTCGGCATTGTTTCATGGTGGATCTATGAGGAAACGGTATACCCTACGGTCAGAGATGAATAAATAGCTTAGCACTGATGCAAAAAGATTTAGTTAGTATTTAATTAGTCCTCAATATACTTTGAATATTTTGGGAAGGTCAGTTAACAGACACTAAACAGCAGTCAAAACAGCTGTTTTGTTAAATTGAAAAAACGTACCTTGGACACCAGTTTCTGCAAGGCTTCAATATGCATGGTATGTGTATTGAAAATAATATCTCTCTCACACACACACACACACACACACACCATTTTCTTTGATTAAAATGCACGGATGTATAAAAAGGAAAACCATCTGCCATTTTTGCTTTCTAAACAGACAAAAAAATAAGACTCTCTAATCCTGCAACCCCTGTTCTTGAGTAATCATTCATGTGAGCAAATCCACGTGTGTCAATGGGCGCTCTCACGATTGAGGGTGGCCGAGTTAGGCTCTAAATCTGTGCAAAGCCCTCATCATGTTCCTGAAGCTGATCCCAGAATGCTAACTAAGCACCACTATGAAATACATATGAGCTAGATAAACACTGCAGAAGTGAGTATTGAGCCTTCTTGACTCTCACCTTTTTCACAGCAGTGTTGGTATCTGAGCTCCAGGAACGAAATGAAAGGCTAGGAAATGTCTGTATGCACAGAGCTCTTTTCTGAAGTGACCTTTGCAAGAGAAAACAGCGGGGTGCCCTCATGCACACATTTGCAGCATCCAGATCTTTTCAAATGTAATTTGTTGCTCAGACTTGTACAACTAACTGATACCAATGCAAAAGCAGCAGCACAGGTCCATAGCTGCCAAGATGTCTTTCTATATCTTCCTGCAGTTTAAAAAAAACAAACCCCTCACTGTTGGAATGTGGACATTCAGCAGCCAAGAGAGGTGCCTGTTTTGTTTGTGCTCAAATTGCTATTCTGCGTCACAACTGTTTCTGGCATCGGTGTTCTGGGAACAAAAAAGGGTCTGAATGTGCTTTTGTGCACAGAGCCCTTTTTCTAAAGACTTAAAAAAGATTTTAAGAATCGGTATTAAAACGTGCTTGTCAGGAATCACTTAGCAGACGGAAACAATGTTCACAGCAGGCAGGTAGATAGGTCAATGGCTTGTTAACTGTGCATGGCATGATGTAAGCTCACTGATGTGATAGATGGTTGTGCTTTTACTGAAAAAAAAAATCTTCTCAAGTGAAAGCAAAGAGGTCTTGAGATCAGAAAAAGGCACGTGAAAATAAACTGTCCAGCCTAGAAAACATATGTTCGAATAAACATATTTTTGATACGAGTGGAGTTCACATACATAAAAATCTTGAAAAAAAAATGTAGCTTGCACCTTTGTATCCTCTGACTGTAAATTACTGATTGGGGGAAATGCATACGGGAAATCTATGGGGAGAAAATGTGCATTGTAACAAGTCCTCTGACAGGCTTCTGGGAATTAGCAGTACTGATTAGTAGTGATGCTGGTACATGGCTGCTGGAGTTGTGCCTTTCTCTATATGCTTTAGGTGACAAGTGTGACAAAGCAAATGTTCATCTAGCGGATAACAGCGATGTCCATCTTCATCATTGAGTTCCATCCCGCAATCCTACAAAGAGACAGAGTGGCTATTCAAATGTGCATTTGCTTTCTGATGCAAGAATCAAACTAGTATCTTACCCCAGTAGTGAGTACATGTTGACAGCTCTTTCAAAATAAGCCCCAAGTATCTAGATTTATCATAGACAGGAAAGCATCCATCATCCACATCTATAAGATTCAACCACCAGTATGGTAAGGTTGCTCTGATTTAGTATTTTATGGTAAGTTATGTCCCTATAAGTTTTAAATACATTAGTATTTTTCTTAAACTCTCCAGGCTGAGGTCACGGTCTTACTCTAAAAAAAGTAATAGCAAAATGGTTTTTAAATACGTCAGAAGCAGGAAGCCTGCTAAACAACCAGTGGGACCCTTGAACGATCAAGATGCTAAAGGAGCACTCAAAAGACAAATAAGGTAATCGTGGAGAAACTAAATGAATTCTTTGCTTTAGCCTTCACATCCGAGAATGTTAGGGAGATGCTCAAACCTGAGCCATTCTTTTTAGGTGACAAATCTAAGGAATTGTCTCAGATGGAGGCGTCATTAGAGGTGGGTTTGGAACAAAGTGATAAACTTAACAGTAACAAGTCACTGGGACCAGATGGCATTTACCCAAGAGTTCTGAAAGAACTTAAATGTGAGACTGAGGAACTATTAACTGTGGTTTGTAACCTATCCCTTAAATCAGCTTCTGTATCTAATGACTGGAAGATAGCTAATGTGACACCACTACTTAAAAAGGGCTCTAGAGGTGATCTTGGCAATTACAGATCGGTAAGTCTAACATCATACCAGGAAAATTAGTTGAAACTATAGTAAAGAATAAAATTGTCAGACACATAGATGGACATAATTTGTTGGGGAAAAAATCAACATGGTTTCTGTAAAGGGAAAACATGCTTTAATGATCTACCAGAGTCCTTTGGGGGGAAAGAGAGGGGTCAACAAACATGTGGCAAGGGAGATCTAGTGGCTATAGTGTACTTAGATTTCCAGAAAGCCTTTGACAAGGTCCTCGCCAAAGGTTCGTAAGTAAAGTAAGTTGTCATGGGATAAGAGGGAAGGTCCTCCCATGGATTGATAACTGGTTAAAAGACAGGAAACAAGGGCAGAAATAAATGGTAAGTTTTCAGAATGGAGAGAGGTAAGGACGAATCCTGTTCAACCCATTTATAAATGATCTGGAGAAAGGAGTAAACAGCAAGGTGGCAAAATTTGCAGAGGATACTAAACTGCTCAAGATAATTAAGTCCAAAGCAGACTGTGAAGAGCTTCAAAAAGATCTCACAAAATGGAAAATTTATTTTAATGTTGATAAATGTAAAGTAATGCACACTGGAAAAAATAATCCCAACTATACATACAATATGATAAGGACTAATTTAGCTATAACCACTTAGAGAGAACTTGGACTCGTGGATAGTTCTCTGAAAATATTCACTCAATGTGCAGCGGCAGACAAAAAAGCAAACAAAGTTAGGAATCATTAAAAAAAGGATAGAGAATATCTTATTGCTCTCTATATATATCCATGGTGCACCCACATCTTGAATACTGTATACAGATGTGGTCACCTCATCTCAAAAAAGATATACTGGCATTGGAAAAGGTTCAGGAAAGGGCAACAAAAATGATTAGGGGTTTGGAATTGGTCCCATATGAAGAGAGATTTAAAAGACTGGGACTTTTAAGCTTAGAAAATAGGAGACTTGAGGTTTTTAAAATCATGACTGGTGTGGAAAAAGTGAATAAGGAAAAGTTATTAACTTGTTCCCATAACATAAAAACTAGGGGTCACCAGACTAAATTAATAGGTACCATGTTTAAAACAAAAATAGGAAGTTTTTCTTTATGCAGCGCAGTGTCAACCTGTGGAACTCCTTGACAGAGGATGTTGTAAAGACCAGGACTAACAGGGTTCAAAAAAGAACTAGATAAATTCATGGAGGTTACATCCATCCATGGCTATTAGCCAATATGGATAAGAATGTCATCTCTAGCCTCGGTTTGTCAGAAGCTGGAAATGGATGACAGGAAAGGGATCATGTGATGATTACATGTGTTCATTCCCTCTGGGGCATCTATCATTGGCCACTGTTGGAAGACATGTGTGACAGATTGCTGGCTAAGCCAGAGCTCTGCCACTACAGCGTGGCTGAAAAGGCCAATTACAGTCAGCTGAGTGAGTCCATGCCTGAAGGGCTAATGGAAGCAGCTGTGGGCCTCATTAGCCAGAGGGCAACAGAAGGCAGCCAGAGGGGAAGTGAAGAGAGGGAACCAGAGTGTGGCTGAGTGGGCTCCCCAGCCAGAAGGAGAGGCTGGCTGTTTGCGCTGTGAACAAAAACTCTGTAAAGAGAAAGTGGTGGGAAATGGGCACTGACAATAAAAGGCCCAGGTGACTGCACCAGGAAGGATCTCTGGTTGATTTGTGACCCAAGAAGGGGTCCCAAGGCAAGGGGCCTGTGCAAGGACCTTGCCACAATAGGATACTGGGCTAGATGGACCTTTGGTCTGACCCAGTATGGCCGTTCTTATGTTCTCTATTTAAGTCAACAGAATTACACCAGTGTAAAACTATCAGGGCTTCCTATTGTTGCGTTGCTAATACAGTTCCTCAACATTAGCAATGGAGATACAGGCATTTAGATGACCACTGTGACACCTAAACTTGCTCAGAAGTCTAGACAACATGGAGAATATGCCTGATTCTGCTCAAGTCCTGTAATAATAAATGCTCCCATTAGGGGAGCTGTGCCAAACCTGTCAAATCAAAAGCAAAATGAAAATCAAATCTCCCAAGATTGAATTTCCAGGTAGTAAGTCACATCAGAATCTGGATATCTCCTTGGAAACGTTAGTCCGTAGACATATTATCTTGCACATCTTCCAGTAGTTGATAATTGCAGTAGGAACTTAACAACATGAGGTTGTAGTTGTTGATCTGCTGAGTTCCCAAGATACCTGTGTATTTTGTGTCTTTTAAAAATAGTAATATTTTTCACATTGACCGTGGGAACTTACTGACCCACCTCACATCGATAACATTCCACATGGTAATCCTTGTCCATGGATACAACTCGAATGGTTTCATCGGACCCCTGTAAAAGATATAAAAACAACGCATTAAAAGGAAAAGATACATTAAACAGATGGGGAGGGATTAAAGGAGGAAATGACACATGGGTTCTGTGAATTTCTTGCTGCAACAATATGGATAGTGAATAAATGCACGTGAGCCACTGGGGCTATGTCCAGACTGCATTCCTCTCTCTAAAGAGGAATGCAAATTAAGCAGATCGAAAATTGAAATGAAGTGCAGATTTACAAATCTCGCACTTCATTTGCATAATCGCATCCAAGAGCTTTTTTGAAAAAGGATTTTTCGGAAAAACCCCTGCAGTCTAGACAGGGTTCTTTCAGAAAAAAACCCCACTTTTTCCAAAGAACCCATTCACCTCAGTTTTTCAGCAGTATGGGTTCTTTTGAAAACTGGAATTTCTTCCTTTCACCCAAAAGAACCCTGTCTAGACTGCAGGGGGTTTTACAAAAAACCCTTTTTCAAAAAAGCGCTCAAATGCGATTATGCAAATGAAGCACAAGATTTGTAAATCCACGCTCCATTTGAGTTTTTGATCTGCTTCATTTGCATTCCTCTTTCGAAAAAGGAATGCAAAGTAGATGAGCCCTGGTACAAAACCTCAAATAAACCTGCCGCAGATATGCTTTTAGCAAAGCTTTGTCATCTTTTTACTCTAGGCATCTCTGGAAAATTAAACATCAGAGATTAAAAGAAAGGTTTCTGCTGCCCAGGTCAATCCCAAGTGGATACACCAAGGAGTATATGAAATCCTTCCATATTTCACATTTCTGAGAAAGTGCCCCAGCATTTTTAACTGGTTCTATCAAAAGAGTTACATTAACAAGATAATTATGAATAAGCACTCAATAAAGTAGAGAGCACTCTCTCATACATGGAACACTCTTCAAAATCAGCAACTTTGTATTCACTAAGGGAGAAGTTAGTCTGACCTAACAGTAATGGCAATGAAATCTCACAGAGGTTGAAAAGACCAGGTTAACCCAGTGATAGCGAACTGAATTATCATGCAAAGGAACCAATGAGTCTAAAACATTGCCCCTTAACTTTGGGCCTACAGAGGCAGAGATTGATGTGACGGCCACACTCCGGAGGAAGTGTACAGCTCTAGTGAGCCCAGAAAGCATTGTTTGACAGAGGATGAGGCACAAAGGGGGAAAGTGACATGATCCTAGGAGTCCCCATGAAACCAGTGGAGGAAAAAGTGTAAGCAATAGAAAAAAAGGCTCTTACCTCATTTGGCAAAATGGGATGTCCACATGCTGCACATTTTGGAGCTAAAACTCTATAAGAGCAACGAGAAACGGGATGTCCACATGCTGCACATTTTGGAGCTAAAACTCTATAAGAGCAATGAGAAACTGAAGTTACACACACACACATACACACACACACACACACGCACACACACCCATCAGTAGGAAAGAGGCTTGTACATTCTGACAGAGGTAATCTTTTTTACTTTAATGACTTTTTGACAGTAATGTTTTTTACTTTATTTGCAAGGATAGTGAAGAGCTTTTCATTGCACTGTTCAGTAGTTCACTTTTTAACAAATTGGATACCACCACATAACCCCCATATTGGTTCAAATGGCTGCACAATCTGCAATCAACATTATTTATTGAGGAAATAGTAAATTCCAAGGCCAATCTCCAAGTTCTTCATACATCTGGGACATGGAGCATCCGGACTATTTATCAATGAATGTTGTACATGATACATTAAAAATTTCATTTGTGTCAGTTATATCCAGGTGTGACTGACAGAAATTGCTTTCATATGAAGAGCTGTCATTTTGCACTAAATACTTGTTAGAATCTATTTCTGAGGCCAGCTCTTAATATTCTGTTTCCCCTCTAGAAGGCAAGAGCAACTGTGTTTAGACATAAGCGGCGAGGAGTCCTGTGGCACCTTATAGACTAACCGAAGTGTTGGAGCATAAGCTTTTATGGGCAAAGACCCACTTCATCAGATGCATGTGTTTAGACATGTTTTTCAAAACTGAAATCTTTCTTTCAGGAGCGGTGAGCATGGCTAGATATTCTCTGAAGGAGCCAAAGAAAGCTAGCAGCTGCAGATCTCCAGATCATAGTAGTCTGTCCCTAGAGCAAGGTTGGTAACCTCAGGCCTGGAAGCTGGATGTGGCCCCTGGACGTCTCTGGATCCAGCTCCCGAGCCCTTCCGCCATTCACTGGGGAGCCTGTGCTGGTACTCCAGCCTCCCCGCTGCCCCACCACGGTGCTGGAGCACACAAAAAGACTATTAGGCTGGGCCCCTCTAGGCTCTGGTGTGTGAGGGGAATGTGGGGAGTGTCTTTCTATTTCTCAGTCGGGCGCCAGGTTAGTGAGGGGTTTTTTTTGTGCGCGGTCCTTGACCGATTTTACTGTGGGTCACTGGCCTCCAAGCCAAAAAAGGTTCCCACCCCTGCCCTAAAGCACACAAGCCATCTTTAATGGACCACATACAACGTAATAGTAGACTGCCAGCTTAGAGTAGCAATTTGCTTCCTGTGTAAAGATAGTCTGGATATTTGAAAATTTCATGGTCTGGCCCTAGGATTTACCTTTCATCTACACATACTATTTACTTGCAGAATGTTCAGCCATTCAGGAGTAGGTTTCAGATGGAAGAAGTAGTCTTTGAAAGAGCAATGAGCCTCATGTGACAAAGAACTAGGAAGAAGGAATCGGACACTATTGCATTATCTGCCTGAAAACAACAGAAGTAGGAACTGCTAACAATGGTTACTCAGAGAGGTGGAAGTGGGGATAAGGAAAGTCAGACACAAGGATCGTCCATTCACAGCCATATTAAAAGATACGGGCTACAACTTCATTGCACCAGGGCAGGATCAAGCTGTGTGTAGCATTGTGGGTGGGTCTAATCATTTTACAGGCAAGGGAGTATGCATTCTTTTATAATAATTGTTTCATCGACAAGAAATTAAAACCTTGTCTCAAGAGCAACATAAGATAATTCAATGGAGCATTTGAGAGCAGGTATAGGGTATATTTTAATACCCTGCTGATCATTAGAGGAAAGCAGCAGCAGAATGGAGCAAGTGGATGGATCAAAGTGCCTGTCAACTGGTGGGTCTAATATTATGTGTAGCAGCTACAACAGCGGCTCTTCAATCTCCCTAGATCAGAGGTGGGTAAAAGGGCCTCTACGGGCCTGATTTGACCTGCCAAACAGGTGGATTCGCCTGGCGGAGGCCCTGCTGCTCCTCCGCCCCCAGGCCAATTAGAGCCTGGGGGCAGGAGAGAGTGCAAAGCCTCCTCCCACCCTGCCAGGAGCACGTGGCGTTTTGAAGCGCCTTGCGCTGCTCGCAGGGCGGGGGGGAGAGCAGAGGAGGCTTTGCGCACTCCCAGGTCCTATTTGGCCTAAGGGCAGGGGAGTGCAGGAAGTCTCCTCCCACGCCTGGGGCACGGTCACCTAGGGGGAATGTGGCGGGGGGCAAAGGCACTCCCTCGTCCCCATACTAATCATTGTCTTGGGGTGGGGAAACCAGGAAGTATCTTGGCCTCGCCCCTTCCTCTTGATGCCCTGCCCCTTCACAAATTTCCAAAGTGGCCCCCGGCAAAAAATTATTGCCCACCCCTGCCCTAGACAGTACATTACTCACAAATCACTAGTAGATTTTTTTTAGGATTCATCATTTGTTTAACTAACTGTATACAAAGCTGCCCCCACACACACACACACATATATATTCAGCATTGACGTTCTAATTACATTTTGCTCTTACAAGCCAGACTCAGCCCCTGGTGCAACTGAGTGTAGTTCCCATTGGCTTCAAAGGGACTGACATTTACTTCAGGGCAGATTTAGTTCTTACTCCCTTAAAACACTTCACAAACATTAACTGACTGAATTATACAATCCTCCTATGAGATAGTTGAGGTATTACATCAATTTTCCAAATGGTGTTAAATTACTTACCCAAGGCCATATTGGAAGTCAGTGACAAAACGAAGGGAAGTGATCAGGAGTTCCTAGCACCCAGTCCCATGGCTCATCCCACTAGTCCAAATACCCACACTATTTTGAAGGTTTTAATGGTTTCTGACTAGGCATACTTAGCTGTTCACTTTCTTACTTGTGGTAATCTCTGACACAGTAGATTTTGTTCTCAGTGTCTACAGTGAATGGCACTCCATCCAGACATTCGTTACAGATCACACAACGGAAGCAGCCTGGATGGTATGATTTCCCTAGAGCCTGCAGGATCTGCAATAAAACAAAGACAAAGAGCGCTCACAAACAGGCATTAAAAAAAATGAGGAGTATAGCAGTAGAAGCAACACTACCAACGACTTGGCCAGAATAGGGTTGGTGACTGTGAAATGCTAAGGAAGATTAGAGAGGCTACAAAAACAGAAAACTCAGTAATAATGGAAGGTTTCAACTATCTTCATGTTTACAGGGTACATGTCACCTCAGGATGGGCAGCAGAGATAAAATTTCTAGTCACCATTAATGACTGTTTCTTCGAGCAGCTGGTTCTGGAATAGGGATGTTAAATTTAGATTAAATTTAAATTAATTTAGATTAATTTGCATCAACTATTCGATTAGTCAATAAGGGCACCTCTGGCTTTGAAGTGTAGCAACAGCCCCACTTCAAAGGCAAAAGCACTGAAGGGAGCATGAGGCAAGCAGGGGAGTGCCCAGATGACTCTATGCTCCATGCGGTGCTGCCACTTTGAAATACCATGTGCAGCAAGGGGGAAGGGGTGGGCGGGCGGGGAGGGGGAGAAGAGAGCAATTCTGGAACACACACGTGGAGAGGCAATTCTTAATTTCATCTGAAATGGAGCACAGAATCTAGTCCGAGAGGGAACTATAGCTGAACCATTGAGTAGCAGCAACAACAACATACAGATTGAACCTCTCTAGTCTGGTGCCCTTGGGACGTGACTGGTGCCAAACCAGAGAATTTGCAGAACCACAGGAGGTCTATATTGTCCGGCAGCATCACCAACACTTCCACTGCTTAGTGGGCTGTTAGAGAACATTTAGGGGTAAATTAGAGCTAAACAACAGCACTGAACACTGAGAACCAGGACTGGTGGCCGTAAATAAACTTTGTGGGACTGCGGGAAACTTGTCCCATAAGTGGACATCCAGCTAACTAAAATCATGCCGGACCAGAGAGGTTCAACCTGCAATTAAATTTATCACCTTGGCAGAGGGGAAATACCAAAGAAAGGCACTACAGTAGCATTTAACTTAGAAAAAAAGGAAATTACACTGAAATAATGAATCTATTTAAGCAGAAATGAAAAGAAATAATCACAAGAGTGAAATATCTTCAAACAGCATGGAAACTTGTTTAACACACCACAAGAGAGGATCAAATTAAATGTATCACCCGCATTAAAAAAATAAGAGGATCAAAAAAACTAATAAAGTGTTAGAAAAGGGAGAGAAAATATAATGCTACTAAATAAATCTCTGCTGCATCCACACCTGGAAAAGTGAGGACAGTTCTGGTTGCCCCACCTCAAAAAGGCTATTTAGGGATTGGTAGAAGTACAGAGAAGGGCAACAAAAATGATTAGGGGTGTGAAACTGCTTCCATGGGAGAAGAGATTAAAGACACAGGGGCAGTTCTTCTTAGAAAAGAGGTGACTAAGAGGAGATAAAAGTACAGGTCTAAAAATTACATCTGGTGTAGAGAAAATGATCAAGGAAGTGTTATTTAGCCCATCATATAACCCAAACACACCAGAGGCCACCCAATGAAATTAATGGGCAGCGGATTTAAAACAGCAAAAGGAAGTATGTCTTCATACAATACAGTCCCTATGGAACTCCTTGCCAGGGGATGTTGTTAAAGACCAAAAGTATAACTGGGTTAAAAAAAGAATTAAATAAATTCATGGAGAATAGCTCCAACCACCACTATTAGCGAAGTGGTCAGTGATGCAAACCTATGCTTTGGGTATCACTAACTATCTGACTGCCAGACACTCGGACAAGATGACATGGGATGGATCACTGGATAAATTGCCCTGTTCTGTTCACTCCCTCCAAGCAACTGGCACCAGCCACTGTCAGCAGACAGGATACTGGGCTAGGTGGACTATTGATCTGACCCAGTATGACCATTCTTATGTGCTCATGAACACAGTATACTTGTGACATTACACCAGAAAATGGTGTCGTGTCATCTGAAATACTATGTCCTATTTTAGTAAATGTAATTCTAGGAATGATTTAGCAGAGATAGAAATGGTCCAAAGAAGAGCAGCTGAGATCTACATGCAACAAGACATTCCAAAGACTAGGATTGCTTAGCTGGAAAATAAGAGTTGGCAGGGGCTAGATTTAGAGATTCTAAATTACAAAAATGTGAAAGGGAAAAAACGACTGATTTTTCCTTTAAACCCTGTCCAAAAACTTAAGGCTATGGGGACACCACATATGAAAATCTCTCTTTCCACTCTTCTGCAACAGGCTGAGACAAATGTAACAAAGGAGGCCCAGCATTCATAACAGATACTATAGGCCAGGCCCCAGCCCACCAATGCCCCACCCGCTCCCAGCTCAATAGGCTGCAGGGAGCCGTTGTCTTATGCAGTGGGTATGGACAGGATCATCAATAAACTGCCACAAGAGCTCACAAGAAGTCAGTGTGTTTTTAAAATAACCTGCTCCTCAAAGCAACGTTCATTTGGAACAGATGCTGAAAACGTGTCAGTGCAATAAGCGTGAACGGATGATAGTTTTACTTCCAGCAATGGCAAGCCAGAGGATTAGGGTTCTTTCACTGTCCCAAGTGAACACACCAGCTAGACTGACAGATCAAATGAGGCAATTCTATATTTGCATTTCTTTTGCCCTATAGGCACCGTTCTAAAGTGCTGTTTTCTCTCTGAGGCCAGCATCACTTACCATGTCCATTATCAAATGACCACAAATGAAACACCTGTCAGCTGACTGCTGGAAACCAGAATACTGCAAGGAAGAAAAAAAATAGCTTAACATTTTACAAGGCTGGGTAACGCACAACAAAACTTATTTTTGTTTTGTCTGAACAACGGTTATTGTGTAGGCTATCATTCGAATGTGCCAAAGTTACAGGGTCTGATTTTCAAAATGTCGAGTGTATCGAAATTCTCCTAACATTAGACTGACAATTTAAGTTTAAACTGAATTTAACATATGTCAGTTGACAGTACCAGATGTGCACATGCAAATTAAGGATACACTGGTAATGGATGTGCGCTTACTTGGCAATGTGCGCACACATATCAGGTATTTATTATGAATGTACATCTCATATTTGTATTTGCAAATTAGGTATATACAGATAGATACTGACCTAACTTGAAAAATCTGGCCCACAATCTCACTAGGCCCATAAATATAAACTTGCCAAATTCTACTTTCAGTTACACTGATGTAAATGTAACATGAATGTTAATGAAGTCAGTGGCACTGTGCCATCTTAATACTAGTATAATTCAAAATATAATTTGGCCCAGAGGATTCTTTTTGTTAAGAACTAAACAAATGGCCCTGACTGTTAAGTACATTAATGCTACTTTAACATTACTCACACCAAATGTCACTGGCATCCTCTACGGCTGCCCTACATAGTATGACTGGTAGAAAGCATCAGACTCACAAAGTATTTTAATGCATTTAGTTAGACTGTACATGTCTCAACGCTTGGATTATTAACATCTATTGCTTTTAAGTACACCGGTGGCGGTGAAGTGACTCCTCCCCAACAGCAATCGCTGAGGTCGATCAATTAGAGGGCTCTGGAAGGAGGTGGGGGAGAGCAGAATGAACTTGTTCACTGACAATTTACTAACAACCAATTACCAACAAACTAACTCACTCACAAAACAAAAACAAAAAACACCTTTCTAAAGGTCTTAAAGACCCACAGAATAACTTATTTTTCCCTGGTCTTCTCCCCCTTACATGTTGTTTTTCCAGTGTGTCCAAGAACTAGCCATCTCTGTGTCTGGAGTCAAGACCGTTTCTGTATTCTAGGTTATTGCTGCACTTGGTAGATGCACCTACATATGGTACAGACCATATTCCATAAATGACCAGAGGAATGTTTCTAGTGAAATAGTATTCACCTAGTTCAGCCCAGTACTCAAAGTAAGGGTCTGGTCCCAAAGCCCATTGACATCAATGGACTTTGTCAATGGGCTCTAAGTGTGTCACTTCCACAGCTGTGTGAAAGAGCAGCAGAAGCCTTAATTGTGTTTCAAGGTGTTGTTATGCAATGCACCTAAATCAGACAGATATTTAATAAATATTTGTAAGCATTGCTCCACTTCCTTTGACCACAGCACATCAGGGTGTCTCCTCTCTCTCAGAAATGCCCAGTCAGAGAAAGTTGAGAGAAAAAAATCTTTTCCCTCCCTTATTTTTCCTCTAACCATCTGCTTATCATGCCCTCATCCCCACCATATCTAAACACACAACCCAGCTCTTTTTCCAGGGACTGCTGCTTGTTGACAGTCTTTTGCTGAAACATCAGTTGGATGGTTCTGTGAGCGGCTTCCTTTACAGTCTTCAATGGGAGAAGCACTAGGCAGCAATGCACTCACCAGGAAATCTTCTTCACAGAACACCTTTCCATTAACAAAATAAAAGGCTTTTCCTCTCAGTTTTCGACCTAGGAAGCAACAAGAAGAGAGAAAATACAGGTCAGTAGATAGATGGGGGAAAATATCATCAAAAGCTGATACCAGAGAGGCATTTGGGATAGGGAGAGCATTTGTGTTCTGTGTTGGTGCAACACCTCGCACAATGGGGCACTAGTTCTTGACTAGAGCTCCTACATGCTACAGTCAAAACAGCAGCAATTATACCATTATTAATATTCAACAGAGCTGAATTTTAAAACCATTCTAAACCCAGAATGCCACTAACCAAGATTTCTTTTTAACAACAACAGTCCTGTGAGCTTTGGTCTCTAATCACCAGGTTGCAAGGAGGGTGGTTTTCCAACAAGGCGAGTTTCACATTCCACGCGGCTGGATGGTTATCAAAACCTCAACATCCTTTTACTGAATAAAACTTACCTAAGAAATGATCTCAGCACAACATACGGCATAAAGCCACAAAACACCATCTCTCACCCGTTGCCAAGGCTGCCCACGCTAAGGATGTAAATATTGATCAAAACAGTTAACCAGTGAAACAATTACAATTATCTGGTTTAACTGGTTAACTGTTGGTGGGCGTAGGGCAGCCAGGACAGGGATCTTACTGTTGCTGCCAGGTCCGCTGCAGTGTGGCCGGGTCCAGAGCCACTGGGGCCGTGGTGTAGCCAGCGCCAGGGCCTCTGCATTGCAGGTGGTGCTGGGAGCTGGGACTGGGTCCAGAGCCGCTGCAATGTGGCACGTCCAAGTCCGAGTCTGCTGCAACGCAGCCTGGTCTGGGGCTGCAGCTGGGAGCTGCAGCCTGGTGGAAGGCGAGTCCAGGAGTTGGGCCCGTGATCAGGAGCCATGGCTGGGATCTGGGGCCTGTGGTCACAGTGACATGGTCAGGCCCTGGGCTGCTGGGTCAGGATCTGCAGGCGGGGCTGCAATCTGGGGCTACTGCAGCACGGTTGGGGTCCTGCCTGCCATGCAGCTCCACTTGCCATTCTGACCTGGTTGGGGTTCTTGCCCAGGCAGCTCTATGAGGCTGGCAGTCTGGTCAACTGGTTACCAGGTAAACATTCTGGTGAGCCTAATGGTCACCAGGTAGCCAGTTAACCGTCTACATCCCTAGTCCACATATCTACCCTAGTGACACCATCATAGGACGGAAGCACAGCAGCCATACCATCAAAGGCTCGTTCACCTGCACATCGACTAATGTGATATGTGCCAGCAATGCCCCTCTGCCATTTACACTGGACAAACCAGACTGTCTAGGGACGTAAAAGTTTAACCAGTTAACCCATAAACTTACACTTATTGGCTATCAACAGCTGTTAAACTCTTCATAGGGCTGCCGGCAGCCCCATGGGAGTCGGGAGCCTTGGTAGCCTCACAGGGCTAGGAGCATCATCAGCCTCACAGGGCCAGGACCCCTGGCAGCCCTGCAACCACTTGACTACACTATGACATCCCTATTCCTGATTAGAACCTACATGGCCAGAGTCTGATTTCAGGCACAAACATGAAACGTAGGTAAGGAAAAGGAAGTATAATGCTAGGAGCAGGACAGAACATCCCATTTGATACACTGCATGTGGAAATTATTGTCTAAGAAAGCAAAGACTGTCAGATTATTGTACGTTGCTTTGCTTACAGTGAAAGTTCCTACGGACAGGATTCATGGTCTCCTCTAGATTCTGTTCAGCATGAAACACAATGTTGGCATTCACCAAATAACAATGCCACTCACTATAAAACACAAAATTAAGAAAGGAGAAAAATGAATAAAACAACTTTATTGTGTAATCTATCATATGGCATGTGCACCAGAGGGCGCTTTCAGACAGGCCAGAAAATATCATGCACTACTAGATGGAAAAAATCAAATGTTTGTACAGAATACAAGGTGAAAGCATGGCCTTATTGAAGTTTGTGGGAGCTTTGCCAATGACTTCAGTTGGGTCAGGATTTCACCCTTTGTCTGTAGCGCTCGATCTGGAAGAGCGCAAAAAATATTCCAGACATATTGCATGAAAAATCAGCTACTGTTTGCATAAGCAGCAGCCAATTTTATAAAAAGTACAGATAGGTAACAAGTGCACTTAAGGGACTAGCTATGATACAAGAACCACATGTACTAGACAGGATTGTCTGTCACACTAAAGGACAACTGAGTTACTATAGCTTTTTATTGCCAAGTGGGATAGGAAAGCACAGCTTGTTAACCATATTAGGAAACAATGTTCCAGACTAGGTCTTAGCCTTGGCCAAAACCACTGTTCAGCAAGGTCAGAAGTTTCAGACAGCCTGGACAGGAAGACAGACATGTGTTTCAAAAACCCACTGGGTAATAGCCTGACAAACTTCAGTGTTTCATTGGGGCAGGGAGGAAAGTGCCTATAACACGCACTTCTGTGAGCAGACAGGGGTTTGCACTCTGGGCCCAAGTAGAATTTATGAACGCAGCTCACTTTGACAAGTTGATTCTCCAGATAAACTACAGGTTGAACTTCTTTAATCCAGAACTCTCTTGTCCAGACACTTCTCATGGATATGGTCAAGTTTCCCATGGCCCCATAAAGTTTGTTTACAGCCACCAATCCTGGCTCTCAGTGTTCCGTACTGCTCCTTAGCTCTAATTTCTCTCTAAGTGTCCTCTAACAGCCCAGTAAGCAGTGGAAGTGTTGGTAATGCTGCTAGATAATACTGACCTCCTGTAATCCAGCAAATTATCTCAGTCAGAACCAGTCAGGGTTTGAGGGTTCCAGACTAGAGAATTTCAACCTGTAGCATGGAGCATACAAACAGATGCACTATTGCAGGCTTCAAGGCCAGTGAAAGTTGCAATATATATAGCATGAAAACAATGACATGTCAAACTATTGCTAGGATTCCTTAACAAGCAGTCTTCATTGTCAGGAGGCCCACCCCAGTAATAATCCAAACTAGTTCCTGGTATTGAATTCTCCCTGTATACAGCAGACACAGACATGCTCACAGTACAGCACATTTGCACAAGATAGAAGAATCCCCACTATAGGTTCAGGCTGCCTTGCAGAGGTGCACGGCAGGGTAAAAGAGCTGGTGGTGGAGGGATCTCCCTGGCTCCCTAGCCTATGCCTGAAGTGGCCATAATGCTGCTGGTGGAGAAAGGAGAGACCAACATTCCACTGGAGCTGCACAGGGGAAGGGAGGGGAAGAAGCTGTTTAAGAGATAATGTTCTGGCCCTCTGCCCTCCCCAAGGATGTGAAAGGTTAACTAGTCAGCCTCACCCTTAACACATGAGGCCTACTGGTTATGGTTAATCAGTGGGGGCTGAGTAGCCCTCTGCCTGCCGCTCCTGTGCCATGTGTCCAGGGGCGGGGATGCCCATACGCCGCACACCCAGGAGTCAGCAGCACCCATGCCACGTAGCTTCAGGAGCAATTTAACAAGAGGCCAAAACACAGTCTTTACTCACAAAACATTGCCTAAACTCAACAAAAATTTTCCCGGAGTGTAGGGCAGATCTTTTAAAAAAAATAATTGAAACATTCAAGTTTTTTTTTTTTTTTTACAGTTACAAGCTATCACGCATAATGGCATAGCAAAATGTGCAGATGTCTACATGATTGTCTTGTTATACGTGCTGTATCTCCATAAGGACAGCTTGCGGAGGAGGAGGGGGAGACAGAGAGAGAGAAAAGACAGGAAGGCTATGCTTGATGTTGGATGAAGGCCCTGACCCATGTGCTAACAACACCCCTTGCTACAGAGGGACACAGGTTGGATTACTGCCACAGTCATTCTTTGACAAATGACAACAGACATTTCACAGGCACCAAACACTGTGTATTTTTAACCCCTGACACTAGCAGTCAAGATTTATTAATGCAAACCCCAATGGGGTGGCCACAGTTAATGTTGTGTGTCAGTGTTTTCTTTATAAGCTCATTTAGCAGCACGGTAAGCCCCTTTGGAAGGCATACACAATTTGGCTGTCAACATTTTAAGTGGATAGATGCACAAGAGGTGCTACTCCCCAGAACACACTAAAGGAAAACATTTTTTTCTTTTCTTTTTTTTTTGCTTTTGGGAAGGGACAGAGGTGACTTTTAGAAAAAATTCACATTACATTTCTGCCGAAATTTAAA